AAAAAAAAAAAACGAGACAAAGAAATTAAACGGAGACTTTTGTCAGCAAACATTTTTATTTCAATTAATATTTTGAATATACATGTAAAATATTAAGGATAATACACAACAATACCAAACTATAGTGACACTAGGTAAAAACATTACAGACCAAATAATAAAATATTTACCTGTTTCAATAGAATAAATCAAATAGACTTCATTCAAAACAATGGAAATAATTGTAACGATGGAAATGTTGAGACTGAATTAACGTACATCATGTTCCAGTTGACCCATATTAATGAGACACAAAGAGAAAGGAACAATATCAGTATAATGTCACAACTTGTATACGCATCACAATGCTTCGATGAACATAATTTACCATATTAAACACTTTAAAAAAAGTTCCAACTGAAGCATAACAACTTCATAAACATGATTATTAACATTAAATGAAGTCTTTGGATCATTTTTGAAGTACAAGATTTTGGAACTGTGGCACAGCCAACACACTGTTCTAAAAGGTTAAAAGTTTGTATATACAACTGAAAGAATAATGCCCAACTTATACAAGAATAAATTTAGAGTTCATAAAAGAAACATTTCATACTTAATGCATGTTACATATAAAAAAATTTTCATTCGCGTCTCAATAATGTACAGAAAATCAAAACCTCAATATTACTCAGAGGAATGGGACTGAAGCACCCACCATAGTATATATTCTTTAATTCTGTATGTAGAAGTAAGCATCGACAACTTATCTCACATGTACATCTACTAACATGTAACTATACGTGCTTTCATGTTCTCAGTCATAACAACTACTAGCACATAGGTACACGAGTTATCACCCATGACTTACATGTACAACTACTAGCATGTAACTATGTGGGTTCTCAGCCATGACAACTACTAGCATGTAACTATGTGGGTTCTCAGCCATGACTTACATGGACAACTACAAGCATGTAGCTATGCAAATTCTCAGTCATAACAACTACTAGCACATAGCTACACGAGTTATCACCCATGACTTACATGGACAACTACAAGCATGTAACTATGTGGGTTCTCAGCCATGACTTACATGGACAACTACAAGCATGTAGCTATGCAAATTCTCAGTCATAACAACTACTAGCACATAGCTACACGAGTTATCAGCCATGACTTACATGACAACTACTAGCATGTAACTATGTGGGTTCTCAACCATGACTTACATGACAACTACTAGGATGTAACTATGTGGGTTCTCAACCATGACTTACATGGACAACTACTAGCATGTTCGCAGCCATGGCTTACATGGACAACTACTAGCATGTAACTATGTGGGTTCTCAGCGAAGACTTACATGGACAACTAATAGCATGTAGCTATGCACGTTCTCAGCCAAGACTTACATGGATAACTACTAGCATGTAGCTATGCACGTTCTCAGCCAAGACTTACATGGACAACTACTAGCATGTAGCTATACAAGTTCTCAGCCAGGACTTACATGGACAACTACTAGCATGTAACTATGTGGGTTCTCAGCGAAGACTTACATGGACAACTACTAGCATATAACTAACTACGTGTGTTGTCAGCTATGATTTTATCCTACTTTACAAAATATGAGGCATTATTCCCATTGTTAAGAAAAATAAATATTTGAAGATAGCTTCAATATGCGGAAACATCTGTTAGCTGAGTTCTTGCACAGATCTTA